GATTCGAGCAGTCGCAAAAGGCAAAAACTCGTTATGTATCGTTGACGTGTAATTAGTGTAATATGTCTGAATAATACCATGTTGCACGTTTGTAATTAAAGTTGAGATGTTCATGTTAAATTGAGTACCGCGTACTATGAAGCCATTCAAAGAGTTAGCCGTAATACTAATAACACACTACTAACTTTTGCAGAGAATTGCAACCTTTGGAATATTCATGCAACCAAGACAAAAACTGCCAAAATAAAAGACATATTGAAAAATATCAGACATCAAGTATGTACCCTATTGATTTTCTCATATCAATACAGTTTCATCTAAAAAATATTTATTGAGAGTATTTATAACACAATAAGGAAAGAAAAATGTACTTTTATTAGTTTATTTAAATTACAATATACTATACTTTAATTTTAATTTTAATAAAATTACATTATACTAATACAATGTCATAAAGACTCTGTTGATTTTTGGTCCGGTACAAAAATATAATCTACTAACGATTGAACTAATAATTGAAAATCCACAATTTTCTCCAATAAAACAAATAACAGCTCTTGCATATTTTCCCCGTGTATGCAATTACACCAAAAACTTAATTAAGTAAATACTATAGATATATTACATTTTGATAAAATATAATAAACATCCACAGAGATGCAGGTTAATAAATCAGTATGGCATCAGAAAATGTCACAAGTTTCAGTAAAAATAAATATATTGCAACTTTTTTCAATTAACTTCCCGCAGGGTAAGTTATTGTAATCACAAAAAATCGAATTTTTTGCATATCTTTACGCTTCAGAAGTTTCTGAACATTTTGGCATATCTCAGAAAAAATGGATGTATGTGTGTGTGTATGTATGTTTTAATACAATTTTTGTCCACGATTTCGGGTGCACGGATCAACCCATTTGAATAGTTTAAAAAGTATTCGATTCCTATTGATAGAAAGATGTGCTGAAAAGTTTTTAGCAAAAGCAGGTCCAGCCGTTTCGGAGATACGGAGCAAAGAGTGCAGAAAATAGAAATCGAGATTTTAAGAGAACGGAGCATCCGATTTTAGTGATTCAAAAATCATTCAATTCCTTCATTCGATTTTAGTGATTCGAAAATCTGCAGTAATATGAATTTGAGAAATATATAATTATCTTTAGAGGCATAAAAAAAGCTAAAGTTATGCAACGTATATTTAAACAAGATTTTAAATTTATGTATAGCATAGTATTACAGTGTGTATATATTTACTTGCGTTCTTATATATACCAATAACTTTATAATGTTTGTGATGTGTTTGTGTGTGTGTGTGTGTTTCGACATATATCTAGTATGGTATTTTCACATTTCTAAAAATAAATTTTTAAATTTTCTATATTTTGAAAATTGGTTTTATTTCATTATGAACACCATTTAAGCTTTTTGAAGAATATTTTTATAATTAACAATTGTTCACATAATTTTGAATTGTGTAGTTTATTATATTATGATCGCAGTAAGTTTAGATTTGAAACTTGTTTGATAAATGAAAATTTTGTTTAAAGTTTTGTTTCATTGTAAAACTTATACTAACTGATCGAATGAATATGTAATCACATAGATTACTGTTATTAACTTTTTTATAAAATTAGTCTTAAGTAGTTATAAAATAAATAATTATTGGAATACACTTGCAAAAATTGTAATGATCAATTAAAATAATCATAAAATGTAACAAGTAGTATTTATTATATGTTATTCATTTAATTGTCTTTCAACTATGCAAATGAGTGGTTTGTTTTCACTAGATAATTCAAATTGCTTATTTTGTGTTTTTTTCACAGAATGTCATTTGATTTTGATTATTTAAAATAAACGAATTTTAAAGAAAAATGTAATATTAAACATTTTTTTAATTAATTTATATTTTTCTTTTGACCTTGGTTTGATTCTTTTATATTTCAAAATATTTAACCAACTCCACTCTCAATTAAGTACACAGTAAGACTCTTTTGCGCTAACTTTGTTAGTTTACAAATGTTTTGTGGCTAGTTTGTATCATCATTAGTAATTTTATAGTAAACCAATAAGTTAAAACTTGAATTGTTATATAATATTTAATGGCCTCACGTGTTGCAGGAATGTAGAACTAAATTTTCTATCAAAATTTAAAAGCAATTTCACTAAACCATTATGATTTTATTAGAAAATTGTTCTGTTAATAAATTTCAAAATTATTCATGTATATGAGTGATATATAAAGAAAACAGTGAAAACTTGTCTGTATATTTAAAAATGTGAAAATATTTAACAAATTTTATACCTGAGAAAGAAAAAGCAAACAAGTGTACTGTAAAACACAGGTTAGTGAAAGAAAATAAAGTTCATTCAACACCAAATTTGATTATTTCAATAACCAACGACTAATTCATTGCAGTGTAAATTTTTAGAGAGTCTATTAAAGAATGGAATGTCGTTATTCTTTATAAAACTTGTTATTGTTATTGTTAAAATTGCAGATTCGAATGAACGTCGTTTCGATTTCAAAACAGAAGAGGCGTTCGAGTTTCTGAAACGCCATCTCGCACGCTCTGCAGTCGCACGTCTACAAGTCTTTTGCGCATCTATGCTTTGCGACTATTGGAGTTGGGGCGAGATATTTGTCATTGCGAGAGTTCATTTTCATCGTGGCGATCGCTGGAAGAAGACAACAAGACGTCCCTTCGCTGCCTGTGGAGAACATGCTACATGCGACCTGCGAGCCTCACCTGGTACGTTGCGCACTTGTGCTAACTATATTACTACGCAATTAAATATTATATATATATAATATTATAAGAATTATATCACTCGTATTTTTTTTTGGAAACGTGTACTCGATTTATATAGTTCTTGCTCAAGTCGTATTACTGTCTAAGACGTACGCCGGATATATTTTATCTAATTATTTTATTTTGCATCATTTGGTGCCCACTGTTAAATAAAACTACATATTATTATTTTGTTGACTGAGCAATCGAAAGTAATAGTAAAAAGTTGTGAAAGTAAAAAATGACTGTTAATTCATTTTGAGAATTACTATGAGTACATTTATACGGATCGTTTAATTTGAAGTCTTATTTACATAATTATCATCTGCTAATTCACTTCAATTTATAAATCAGAAGTATTGTGTAAATTGGACCACAATCGTCATGTCATCAAGAATTTTAAAGCAAAATTATTTTTCCATGAAAGCCATTTTTTGTTTTAAATGCATAATTTTATTTCTTTTACTTTAAAAAAAAGTGACAATTTGAACAACAAATTGACAAAGAATAGTTACAATTTGAATGAATATAAAGATGCAAACAAAGACTATTCTGTGTTTCGCTGGAGCGCTGCATTGCACACGAAGACAGCTTTGGTGACGCATCAACAATGACATTTAATAATGTATGTATAATCAACTAAATTCAATAATAATTTGTGTGTTTTGCAGGTGCGGGTAGGTTTGCGTTTGCTGCTGCCAGAGTCCTTCAGTTTTTGTACGAACATTGTTACTGTGACGCTCTGAATGTGGTATTTATTGGAATTGCATTTGGCACGAATAGATTTATCATGCGGGGATTTTGTTCAAGATATTATATGATCAATACTTTAGTTGTCACTATAACTTTTAGAAATTTACACAATCATTAAGGCATTGAATTTCAGTTCATTTTCAATTGATTCGAACGATCACTTGCACGATATGTATTGCATGTGGGTTAATTTATTAGTTAGGTAGCATCAGTAGTTTTATTATTAATAATAACAAATACTAATACACTAATCTATTCAACTATTAAAAAATAATGTGGTCGTTTAAATCATTTGAGATTATGCAATGTGGATTTGACATATTACATTAAATTTTAATTTTCACTGTTTTCGATTCATGTTAGTGCATTTCATATAAAACCAAGTGCAATTCTTAAACTGCCAGTAAATTTCTACATTCTGTTTCTGGTCATCAAGATGAAATCACATGGAGGCCACAAGATATCATATCAAGCAAATTGTTGAGTATCGAATGGCCAATTATAGAGTGAAAATTGAACGCTGACTCACTTCACCGGGAATCGCTCTGAAAATAATTTAAAAAGTATATTTTTATCCATAATCAGTATAAATGTGAACAATAAATAGCATGTTTATTTTTTTTTCAGGTCCCTTCACTACTTTTGCTCTGCACTCTGACTCCTTCACCAGGATTCTTTCCAGAAACATGTTACCAGGTGTGTGTTTATCCATAATCAATATAAATGTGAACAATAAATATCATGTTTATTTTTTTCAGGTCCTTTCAACTACTTTTTTGCTCTGCACACTGACTCCTTCACCAGGATTCTTTCCAGAAACATGTTACCAGGTGTGTGTTTATCACATAATCAATATAAATGTGAACAATAAATAGCATGTTTATTTTTTTCAGGTCCCTTCAACTACTTTTGCTCTGCACACTGACTCCTTCACCAGGATTCTTTCCAGAAACATTTTACCAGGTGTGTGTTTATCCATAATCAATATAAATGTGAACAATAAATAACATGTTTATTTTTTTCAGGTCCCTTCAACTACTTTTGCTCTGCACTCTGACTCCTTCACCAGGATTCTTTCCAGAAACATTTTACCAGGTGTGTGTTTATCCATAATCAATATAAATGTGAACAATAAATAACAGGTTTATTTTTTTTCAGGTCCCTTCAACTACTTTTGCTCTGCACTCTGACTCCTTCACCAGGATTCTTTCCAGAAACATGTCACCAGGTGTGCGTTTATCCATAATCAGTATAAATGCAAACATTCCTATAATGTTTCTTTTTTTTGCAGATCTTCTCGATCCAACTATTACTGCCCTGAAGCCTTAAAATCAAGAGCTTGGAACACTCATTCATGTGAATGACTCGCAAGTGGTTTTTTTCAATGACTGTCTATAATTATGCATGATTAACTTAACTCTTATTAACTCAATAACATGACTAACCTCACTAACTTAATTATGCAGTTATTATAAAAACCACTTGTTGAGTTTTACTATGAAGGTCTTAATGGGGTTACGTGGATGACACCGCTCCATGATTAATCAGGTAATTTATTCTTTATAGTATATTTTATGAGACTTGTTACTAATTCATTGTTTTTGTTTATAGGGTAAACGAAAACTTCTAGCGAAGTATTCTTCAACTGTCAAGTTACTCAAGACTTGTTCTCCAGCTGAAATAGTCGCTCGATCTACTAATTATGCTGTCCCAAGTACTGGCGTCTACTGTGATATATTGAGTAGTTAAGTGCATAATTGTTAATGAAATAATGAATAAATCTATTGTATTTAATTTAATTTGTTGTTTTAATTTAATTATGAGCCACTTTACGGCCAAATTACATTATACTATAACGTAATTACAAAAATATTTAAACATGTCTAAATTTTAAAAATGTCTTGTGTTAATAGAGATACTTATTGAGTGCACTTTTTAGTGTAGACAATTGTGCAGAACAGTTTGTTTACTGTTTGGTTGTCTTAAAATCTTGGTTAACTTCTTTATACCTTTGCTTTGACTCGGTAGAACTCTCCGTCGTTGCTTTGACTCGGTAGAAACGCGTTGACAATAGACTTAGCTTTTTTCCAAATCTTATGTTAGTCGAGTGCCTTAAACATTTAATGTGTCAAACCAATGTTTACTCTTGTTTAAATATTATCCTTTCTATTATTTCTTTTTTCTTTAAATGGCGCACTTTTGTTTCTTAGCTATAAATATCACTTAATTTAATATCATACTGTGTTATATATATATATATATATATATATATATTTATATATATATATATATATATATATATAATAGGTATATATATATATACACCTAAGTCTGTTTTTACACGGTCTTTTTGTACACGGTTTTGATATAACACGGTTTGAAAATTGAATATTTTTAATTTTTTTATACGATTTTATTCCATTTAGCACGATTTCAAATTTTATGTACTTAATTTTTTTTGTCAAATTTAATTTTTGCGAAGTATGTTCATATTACAAAAAAGTATTTATGAAAGTAAAAAGTCTGAAACCATCGATAGTATCGATAGTTTGCGAACACTAGCTTAAAGATTTAAGTGAATTCCGCTTTAGCGCGTACAAACAATTTTTACTGGTCAAAGCAAATGTGAATAGCACTAATTTAGGGGAATTATTATTAAATAAACATGAATTCTTGTTTTTAAAAATTCTTGTTTTTCACTAATTTTAATAGGTTTTAGAGATTAGGAACAAATCACCCATTTTTGTATAAGATCAATGTCTTTTTTTACACTTCTTCTTCTGGAACCAATCTACCGTGTAAAAACAGACTTAGGTGTATATATATAATACTGCAATTGTAAGAATAAATTAATATAATTGTATTATTAAATACTGTGATACATTGATTGGAAGTTTTGAATAAAACTAACTAAACTTTATTTGAAGTGTTTCATTTCACACAATTTTCAGTGATATATGTTAAAAACGCACCGTATAAATATAGGTATTATAACATTAATATATTTGTTGATGTTATCATAAACACTAATATACTCATTATTCGTTTTTCGCGGCGAGGATTTATTATTTTGAATGAATTTCATAAAATATATTACAATTTTTGTAATCTAATAATTCTATTATGATCAATAAAATTGATGAAGTTATGACTTTGACCATTTTAAATAGACCCATCTATGGTTTTTCACACTCATTTCAAACATGTCAAAAATGATAACATTTTTCACTCACTTCAATCTATACTATTTACAAAGTGTTAACATAGTTCATTTTAATTAATACACTTTTAATATTGGTCAGTTTTACTTAACTTTGGACTTAGGCAATGAAGATTAACTTCTCAAATTTATTTTTTCCTCTTTAGCACAATGATATCTTCATTTTTAATGAGATAATTTATTTTTATTAGATTATTTTTTATTATTATATTAATTTACGCTACCACCCTTCTCCTCACTTTACACTACCTTACCCAATGCTTATCTACGTTAAGAACTAATACTCTTTACCTTGCTTACCTTACCACGTCTCGAACCTGCTACCCTGCTCTCTCCAGTGACTCCCACCTCCCAACGCGCGACGCCACGACGATCACATTAATGAACCGTTACAAAGTAGGTGATATTATATATTTTAAACGAAAAAAAACTAACAGGTCATATGGCCAAAAAAAGTTGATTTTGTGTGGCCTGTGTTGGCGTAATGGATAGATTGATGGCTTCGTACCTTAAAGGTACCGAGTTCGAATCATACCTCAGGACAAAAAAAGAATATTGTTCACGTTGTGGTATTTATTTAGTGTTGAATAATACAAAAATTAATATTTAGATATAACAAACTAACAAGTCATGAGGCCGAAAGAAAGCAGAATCGATGTGGCCTGTGCTGGCGTAATTGGTAGAGCGATGGATTCGTACCCAAAGAGTGCCGAGTTCGAACCATACCTCGGGACAAAAAATGGAAATCGTGGAATTTATTTATTGTAAGATAGCACAAAAATAAAATTTAGATTTAATAAACTAACAGGTCATGAGGCCGAAAAAAAGCAGATTCGGTGTGGCCTGTGTTGGCGTATTGCTAGCGTGCTAGCTTCATGTCAACAGGGTACCGAGTTCGATTCATACCTCCGGACACAAAACGCAAAATAGCGTGACTGTTGACGCTGTGGAACGAGGTATGCACGGAATCACATCCGTTCGAATTTGAGACCCCAGGCAGGTATGCTCCCCTCGATCTCGATTGAGAGGAGAGATACGCGCGAGAATCCCGCAACATCCCCTAATGAACCCCGCAGCAGCCCCGAAAAGGGGCGAGGGGGGATTATAGGGGGGTGTGGGGTTCACGAACCCGCGACCCTGTGGTCCAACCCTCCCGAAAAAGGGAGAGGGGGGACTATAGGGGGGTGAGGGTTCCGCGCGACGACCAGCCCTGGTCGCGCCGGTTGAAAAGCTGGGTGCGTCACAGGGTGGGTCGGTGTGCGAGTCCCCGGAGCACCCTCGAGTGCGATGATGGGGATGTGGGGTGAAGGGAAATGCTGTGACGAGGGAAAAAAAGGGGTGGAAGGATATGAGGGAGACAGATAGGGGCGGTGGGAGAGATAAGGGGAGGGAGAGAGACGGGGGGAGAGAGATAGGGGAGGGAGAAGAGGGGGGAGAGGAGAGAGGGGGGAGGGGATAAGGGGAGGGAGAGAGATAGGGGGAGGGATGAGAGAGGGGGAGAGAGAAGGCGGGAGATGGATAACGCATTATTTTACAAAAATCGTTACGCAAAATGTGTTTCATCCGCGCCTGGCGCTCATCCCTCCTCCGTCTCTCTCCCCCTCTCTCATCCCTCCCCCTATCTCTCCACCCTTATCTCTCTCCCCCGTCTATCTCCTCCCTATCTCTCCCACCGCCCTATCTGTCTCCCTCATATCCTTCCACCCCTTTTTTTCCCTCGTCACAGCATTTCCCTTCACCCCACATCCCCATCATCGCACTCGAGGGTGCTCCGGGGACTCGCACACCGACCCACCCTGTGACGCACCCAGCTTTTCAACCGGCGCGACCAGGGCTGGTCGTCGCGCGGAACCCTCACCCCCCTATAGTCCCCCCTCTCCCTTTTTCGGGAGGGTTGGACCACAGGGTCGCGGGTTCGTGAACCCCACACCCCCCTATAATCCCCCCTCGCCCCTTTTCGGGGCTGCTGCGGGGTTCATTAGGGGATGTTGCGGGATTCTCGCGCGTATCTCTCCTCTCAATCGAGATCGAGGGGAGCATACCTGCCTGGGGTCTCAAATTCGAACGGATGTGATTCCGTGCATACCTCGTTCCACAGCGTCAACAGTCACGCTATTTTGCGTTTTGTGTCCGGAGGTATGAATCGAACTCGGTACCCTGTTGACATGAAGCTAGCACGCTAGCAATACGCCAACACAGGCCACACCGAATCTGCTTTTTTTCGGCCTCATGACCTGTTAGTTTATTAAATCTAAATTTTATTTTTGTGCTATCTTACAATAAATAAATTCCACGATTTCCATTTTTTGTCCCGAGGTATGGTTCGAACTCGGCACTCTTTGGGTACGAATCCATCGCTCTACCAATTACGCCAGCACAGGCCACATCGATTCTGCTTTCTTTCGGCCTCATGACTTGTTAGTTTGTTATATCTAAATATTAATTTTGTATTATTCAACACTAAATAAATACCACAACGTGAACAATATTCTTTTTTTGTCCTGAGGTATGATTCGAACTCGGTACCTTTAAGGTACGAAGCCATCAATCTATCCATTACGCCAACACAGGCCACACAAAATCAACTTTTTTTTGGCCATATGACCTGTTAGTTTTTTTTCGTTTAAAATATATAATATCACCTACTTTGTAATGGTTCATTAATGTGATCGTCGTGGCGTCGCGCGTTGGGAGGTGGGAGTCACTGGAGAGAGCAGGGTAGCAGGTTCGAGACGTGGTAAGGTAAGCAAGGTAAGAGTATTAGTTCTTAACGTAGATAAGCATTGGGTAAGGTAGTGTAAAGTGAGGAGAAGGGTGGTAGCGTAAATTAATATAATAATAAAATAATCTAATAAAAATAAATTATCTCATTAAAAATGAAGATATCATTGTGCTAAAGAGGAAAAAATAAATTTGAGAAGTTAATCTTCATTGCCTAAGTCCAAAGTTAAGTAAAACTGACCAATATTAAAAGTGTATTAATTAAAATGAACTATGTTAACACTTTGTATAATAGTATAGATTGAAGTGAGTGAAAAATGTTATCATTTTTGACATGTTTGAAATGAGTGAAAAACCATAGATGAGTCTATTTAAAATGGTCAAAGTCATAACTTCATCAACTTTATTGATCATAATAGAATTATTAGATTACAAAAATTGTAATATATTTTATGAAATTCATTCAAAATAATAAATCCTCGCCGAAAAACGAATTAATGAGTATATTAGTGTTTATGATAACATCAACAAATATATTAATGTTTATAATACCTATATTTATACGGTGCGTTTTTAACATATATCACTGAAAATTGTGTGAAATGAAACACTTCAAATAAAGTTTAGTTAGTTTTATTCAAAACTTCCAATCAATGTATCACAGTATTTAATAATACAATTATATTAATTTATTCTTACAATTGCAGTAATGAAAATGACTAAAATACATTAACATTTGTCTAATTGTATAATATATATATATATATATATATATATTATTGTTACATACTGTGTTATTATTATATATATACACCTAAGTCTGTTTTTACACGGTAGATTGGTTCCAGAAGAAGTGTAAAAAAAGACATTGATCTTATACAAAAATGGGTGATTTGTTCCTAATCTCTAAAACCTATTAAAATTAGTGAAAAACAAGGATTTTTAAAAACAAGAATTCATGTTTATTTAATAATAATTCCCCTAAATTAGTGCTATTCACATTTGCTTTGACCAGTAAAAATTGTTTGTACGCGCTAAAGCGGAATTCACTTAAATCTCTAAGCTAGTGTTCGCAAACTATCGATACTATCGATGGTTTCAGACTTTTTACTTTCATAAATACTTTTTTGTAATATGAACATACTTCGCAAAAATTAAATTTGACAAAAAAAATTTAAGTACATAAAATTTGAAATCGTACTAAATGGAATAAAATCGTATTAAAAAAATTAAAAATATTCAATTTTCAAACCGTGTTATATCAAAACCGTGTACAAAAAGACCATGTAAAAACAGACTTAGGTATAATATATATATATATATATATATATATATATATATTATATACCTATATATATATATATATATATATATATAACACAGTATGATATTAAATTAAGTGATATTTATAGCTAAGAAAAAGTGCGCCATTTAAAGAAATAATAGAAAGTATAATATTTAAATAAGAGAAAACATCAGTTTGACACATTAAATGTTTAAGGCACTCGACTAACATAAGATTTGGAAAAAAGCTAAGTCTATTGTCAACGCGTTTCTACCGAGTCAAAGCAATGACGCAGAGTTCTACCGAGTCAAAGCAAAGGTATAAAGAAGTTAACCAAGATTTTAAGACAACCAAACAGTAAACAAACTGTTCTACACAATTGTCTACACTAAAAAGTGCACTCAATAAGTATCACTATTAATAACACAAGAAATTTTTAAAATTTAGACATGTTTAAATATTTTTGTAATTACGTTATAGCATAATGTAATTTGGCCGTAAAGTGGCTCATAATTAAATTAAAACAACAAATTAAATTAAATACAATAGATTTATTCATTATTTCATTAACATTTATGCACTTAACTACTCAATATATCACAGTAGACGCCAGTACTTGGGACAGCATAATTAGTAGATCGAGCGACTATTTCAGCCGGAGAACAAGTCTTGAGTAACTTGAGAGTTGAAGAATACTTGGCTAGAAGTTTTCGTTTACCCTATAAACAAAAACAATGAATTAGTAAAAAGTCTCTTAAAATATACTATAAAGAATAAATTACCTGATTAATCATGCAGCGGTGTCATCCACGCAACCCTATTAAGACCTTCATAGTAAAACTCAACAAGTGGTTTTAATAATAACTGCATAATTAAGTTAGTGAGGTTAGTCATGTTATTGAGTTAATAAGAGTTAAGTTAATCATGCATAATTATAGACAGTCATTAAAAAAAACCACTTGCAAGTCATTCACATGAATGAGTGTTCCAAGCTCTTGAATTTAAGGCTTCAGGGCAGTAATAGTTGGATCGAGAAGATCTGCAAAAAAAAAGAAACATTATAGGAATGTTTGCATTTATACTGATTATGGATAAACACACACCTGGTAAAATGTTCCTGGAAAGAATCCTGGTGAAGGAGTCAGTGTGCAGAGCAGTGGTAGTTGAAAGGACCTGAAAAAAAATAAACATGTTATTTATTGTTCACATTTATATTGATTATGAATAAACACACACCTGGTAAAATGTTCCTGGAAAGAATCCTGGTGAAGGAGTCAGTGTGCAGAGCAGTGGTAGTTGAAAGGACCTGAAAAAAAATAAACATGTTATTTATTGTTCACATTTATATTGATTATGGATAAACACACACCTGGTAAAATGTTCCTGGAAAGAATCCTGGTGAAGGAGTCAGTGTGCAGAGCAGTGGTAGTGGAAAGGACCTAAAAAAAAATAAACATGTTATTTATTGTTCACATTTATATTGATTATGGATAAACACACACCTGGTAACATGTTTCTGGAAAGAATCCTGGTGAAGGAGTCAGTGTGCAGAGCAGTGGTAGTTGAAAGGACCTGAAAAAAAATAAACATGTTATTTATTGTTCACATTTATATTGATTATGGATAAACACACACCTGGTAAAATGTTCCTGGAAAGAATCCTGGTGAAGGAGTCAGAGTGCAGAGCAGTGGTAGTTAAAAGGACCTGAAAAAAAATAAACATGTTATTTATTGTTCATGTTTATACCGATTATGGATAAACAGGTACTTTTTAAATTATTTTCAGAGCGATTCCCGGTGAAGTGAGTCAGCGTTCAATTTTCATTCGATAATTGGCCATTCGATACTCAACAATTTGCTTGATATGATATCTTGTGGCCTCCATGTGATTTCATCTTGATGACCAGAAATAGGATGTAGAAATTTACTAGCAGTTTAAGAATTGCAATTGGTGCACTCACATGAATTGAAAACAGTAAAAATTAAAATTTAATGTAATATGTCAAATCCACATTGCATAATCTCAAATGATTCATACGACCACATTATTTTTCAATAGTTGAATAGATTAGTGTATTAGTATTTGTTATTATTAATAATAAAACTACTGATGCTACCTAACTAATAAATTAACCCACATGCAATACATATCGTGCAAGTGATCGTTCGAATCAATTGAAAATGAACTGAAATTCAATGCCTTAATGATTGTGTAAATTTCTAAAAGTTATAGTGACAACTAAAGTATTGATCAATTAATATCTTGAACAAAATCACCGCTTAATAAATCTATTCGTGCCAAATGCAATTCCAATAAATACCACATTCAGAGCGTCACAGTAACAATGTTCGTACAAAAACTGAAGGACTCTGGCAGCAGCAAACGCAAACCTACCCGCACCTGCAAAACACACAAATTATTATTGAATTTAGTTGATTATACATACATTATTAAATGTCATTGTTGATGCGTCACCAAAGCTGTCTTCGTGTGCAATGCAGCGCTCCAGCGAAACACAGAATAGTCTTTGTTTGCATCTTTATATTCATTCAAATTGTAACTATTCTTTGTCAATTTGTTGTTCAAATTGTCACTTTTTTTTAAAGTAAAAGAAATAAAATTATGCATTTAAAACAAAAAATGGCTTTCATGGAAAAATAATTTTGCTTTAAAATTCTTGATGACATGACGATTGTGGTCCAATTTACACAATACTTCTGATTTATAAATTGAAGTGAATTAGCAGATGATAATTATGTAAATAAGACTTCAAATTAAACGATCCGTATAAATGTACTCATAGTAATTCTCAAAATGAATTAACAGTCATTTTTTACTTTCACAACTTTTTACTATTACTTTCGATTGCTCAGTCAACAAAATAATAATATGTAGTTTTATTTAACAGTGGGCACCAAATGATGCAAAATAAAATAATTAGATAAAATATATCCGGCGTACGTCTTAGACAGTAATACGACTTGAGCAAGAACTATATAAATCGAGTACACGTTTCCAAAAAAAATACGAGTGATATAATTCTTATAATATTATATATATATAATATTTAATTGCGTAGTAATATAGTTAGCACAAGTGCGCAACGTACCAGGTGAGGCTCGCAGGTCGCATGTAGCATGTTCTCCACAGGCAGCGAAGGGACGTCTTGTTGTCTTCTTCCAGCGATCGCCACGATGAAAATGAACTCTCGCAATGACAAATATCTCGCCCCAACTCCAATAGTCGCAAAGCATAGATGCGCAAAAGACTTGTAGACGTGCGACTGCAGAGCGTGCGAGATGGCGTTTCAGAAACTCGAACGCCTCTTCTGTTTTGAAATCGAAACGACGTTCATTCGAATCTGCAATTTTAACAATAACAATAACAAGTTTTATAAATTGAATAACGACATTCCATTCTTTTAATAGACTCTCTAAAAATTTACACTGCAATGAATTAGTCGTTGGTTATTGAAATAATCAAATTTGGTGTTGAATGAACTTTATTTTCTTTCACTAACCTGTGTTTTACAGTACACTTGTTTGCTTTTTCTTTCTCAGGTATAAAATTTGTTAAATATTTTCACATTTTTAAATATACAGACAAGTTTTCACTGTTTTCTTTATATATCACTCATATACATGAATAATTTTGAAATTTATTAACAGAAACAATTTTCTAATAAAATCATAATGGTTTAGTGAAATTGCTTTTAAATTTTGATAGAAAATTTAGTTCTACATTCCTGCAACACGTGAAGCCATTAAATATTATATAAAAACAAACATACAATTTTTTTTCAAGTTTTATCTTATTGGTTTACAATAAAATTATTAATGATGATACAAACTAGCCACAAAACATTTGTAAACTAACAAAGTTAGCGCAAAATAGTCTTACTGTGTACTTATTGAGAGTGGAGTTGGTTAAATATTTTGATATATGAAAAAATCAATCCAAGGTTAAAAGAAAAATATAAATTAATTCAAAAATTGTTTAATATTACATATTTCTTTAAATTTCGTTTATTTTAAATAATAAAAATCAAATGACATTCTGTGAAAAAAACACAAAATAAGCAATTTGAATTATCTAGTGAAAACAAACCACTCATTTGCATATAATAAACTAGTTGGTTTGGTATTTAGCCTTGAGGCAAGTTACATGAACTTCCCGATATGTGTAAATAATTGACTTAATCAAAAAAAGTGTAAATAATATACTTCATCAATCCTACTTTAAAAAACGATAATAATTTTAGTAAAGATTGACAAATTTTTAAAATTAAACTACTTGTCGTAATGCCGTAATATTACAGTAAGTTCTATAAGACCATGATGTATATCGCCAAAAAAAAGTTCCATGAAAATCGGCTTAAATTTTTTTTTCAACAGTTCATTACAAGAAAACGGCTCGGTAGATTTTCACCTAAAATTAATCAGTACCATTCCCAACTAATATCTTTCGAACAGTTTTTGATTTTTTAAAATCGGTTCGGTAGGATGAGCTTAAATATGGACGAAAAGTTTAACACTTTTTTTTAAATTGCAAAGAAACGGCTTGGCAGATCGTCGCACAAAACTGACAAACGATAGTCCTCACCGAAATACATCAAATGGCTTTTAAATTTCTGAAATCGGTTCAGGCGCTTTTGAGAAAACGTCGATCAAAAGTCTAATTTTGACAAATGTCAAAAAAACTATACCAATTTTTGCAAATTTTGACGAATTTTTAAAGCTAAACGAGTTGTCATAGGGCCGTAATATTTTAGTATGACCTAGAAAACTATGGTATCTACCGTCAAAAAAAAAATCATAAAAATCGTCAATTTTTTTTTTTTTAAACGTTATTACAAGAAAACGGCTCGGCCGATCTTTACCAAAAACTAATCAGCACGATTCCCAATCAATATCTATCGAATGGTTTTTGAATTTTCAGAATCGATTTAGAATTGCGGGCTAAAACGTGGGCGAAAAATTTTTCACTTTTCTGCAATTTACAACGAAACGGCCCGGCCGATCGCCGCACAAAACTCAGAGACGATAGTCCTCATCGAGATACATCGAATGGCTTTTAAATTTTTAAAATCGGTCCAGTCATTTTTAAGAAAACGTCGATTTACGGCAAAAAATCTGTTCACATACACACACACACACACACACACATACACACACACACACATACTTTTTCCAAATTTGGTCTCATTCGATTCAGAATGGCTTGAAACGTCGAGAAAACATAAAATTAGCGAATCGGATTTTTTGATGAAAACATAAACTTCTCCTTCGGGAAGTTAATAACATATAATAAATACTACTTTTTACATTTCTTGATTATTTTAATTGATCATTACAATTTTTAAACGTGTATTCCAAAAATTATTTATTTTATAACTACTTAAAACTAATTTTATAAAAAATTTAGTACAGCAATCTATGTGATTACATATTGATTCGACCAGTTAGTATAAGTTTTACAATGAAACAAAACTTTAAAAAAAATTTTATTTATCAAACAAGTTTCAAATCTAAACTTACTGCGATCATAATATAATAAACTACACAATTCAAAATTATGTGTACAATTGTTAATTATAAAAATATTCTTCAAACAGCTTAAATGGTGTTCATAAAATAAAACCAATTTTCAAAATATAGAAAATTTAAAAAAAATTTTCAGAAATGTGAAAATACCATACTAGATATATGTCGAAACACACACACGCATACACATCACAAACATTATAAAGTTATTGGTATATATAAGAACGCAAGTAAATATATACACACTGTAATACTATGCTATACATAAATTTAAAATCTTGTTTAAATATACGTTGCATAACTTTAGCTTTTTTTATGCATGTAAAGATAATTATATTTTTCTCAAATTCATATTACTGTAGGCCAAAATATCAGACTAAAGTTGGAAATTTGACTACTCTCCTTCCTGATAGTTACCAGAGCAACAGGGAGCGTGCAGGAAAAATTATAGCTTTACTAAAGGTTGAATACATTCAAATGTTGTTAATATTACTTATATTTTTATTACTATTTATTCCTCCAGGCCAAGAATCCTGGCTACCATCTAGATTTCGACACCAGGATTTACATTTCCCACATGATCCAGCCAAGGCAGCGATTCATCGCGATTGCCAAAATATTCTACGACTCGGATATCGTGTCCATAGATTTCACAAATGGAATGAATAAAAATAACAGTGATGGTACTGTCACCAAATACGATAGTGCTGCCATTATAATTTTTATTTGATCACATATTGACAAATTTATTTTGTTCCAGCGGATGTTTATGGTGCTGTTATGGTGCTGTTGAACGTCATATACTTTAAAGGCGAATGGAAAAAACAATTTCCTGAGGAGAATACAACGTTGGGAAAATTCTACCTGGATGTCGATAAATAAATTACATAAAAAATAAATTAAATTCTAATGATGGATTCTAATGATCCTACAGATCCACGTCTACAATTTTTTACAATCCTCTACTAATAGTTACAGTTTACCTAAAAATAATAAGTATGTTTTTTAAATTACTCCTCACACCAAAATGCATATACATCAATATGAGTGATGTTAAATGTTCTTAACTGCTTTAAATAAAATGATGAGTCTCAATTACCACACTAAATTGGAAGTTAAAAGTCTTTTAAACGGTACAACAAATTCAGAAAAATCTTCAAAAATTAATATATAGTATCCGCGGTAAGAGTACAATACTACCTTGAATTTTTGAAGTAAAACTTCTTTAGGCGCGACATGGGTGTAAAAACTTCTTTAGGCGCGACATGGGTTAGCAGTATAATTTGTAAGTTAATATAAATGTCAGGATCGGAAGAATATTTTATCCCGTCCCCCATAAATAATTATAGTGCAAATGATCGCAAATAAATAATGAAACTAAGGAAAAATCTGCGCTGCGTAAGAAATGATAGCTTTGGCTATGTATGTTTTGTGTGTGATCGACTTTGGCTTCAAAGTGACTTAGAAATATCAAATGATGCTCAAAAACAAATTCTTAATAATGTTTTTTGATTATTGATTCAAATAATCAGGTTGGATGTCAAACTTGTCGAAAGATATTAAATTCGGGTAAAATTCCCACTTTGTGTAAATTTAACTGGTTTGTATTTCCACCTATACCAAATTATCTACCTAAACTAGATACTGTATCTGAAAGGTTAATTTCACCTAGGTTGTGTTTTATGCAAATTAGACGATTGCGACATACAAATGGACAATTTGGAATGTTTGGCCAAATTATAAATGTGCCTGTTGACATTAATAATATGGTTAATTTATTACCTCCTAATATTGATGATGATCATTGCATTAACGTTCACATAAAAAAGCAAATGATTTAAAGATCAAGCTATGTGCAGGGCTTGATAAATAAAACAAATATAAAAGTATGGCTTCAATTTGTTAGGCAAGACGGATATTACAGCTGTTCAAGGAATGAGATTATATCGTCAGCGAAAAAGTAAAAAAATACAAACAGTAAATGAATGTATGTTAATTTTAATTACATGAAGTTCTTCAAACACAATTGTTACAGGATGAGTTAATTTACAAAAACAATATTTGTTTAGGCGTTGTTTAACATAATCCACTGTGTGAATTAATATTATAGAATTTATTAATCAGCAATTACTTTAAAACGATCATGCCATATTTCAAGTACGACTTTGATTACATTATTGTTTGTAAATATTATACATATTTTTAATGTAATCATAAATATATAATTTATAATTTATCATTATAGAAATGTGTATAAAGATTGACGACACTAATAAATGTGTGCATCACGAGTGTTACCATATTACTAATAAACATTATTCAAAATTTTTATATGATGTATTTATTTTTACTCAACTTGAATTTGCTACTTTATACAGTAGCAAATAAGTTTTACTTCAATCGCGTATGATCCTTACGCGCACTCTTTTTCTAATTGTTCCAATAATGTTGCCTACAATTTTTATAATTTCCTATTATATTTTAATAGGTTTTTAGTAATTATAATATCTGAATTACATTTTTCTTAGTAATAATTTAATATACATTATTACCAGAGATCCTCAGCGCCCGCTTTGCCAATTCCCTCCTATTATTGTACCTGTTTTAACCATAGACCTTATATACATGGACTGCTAGTCCCCATACATACCTCATTATTTATTATGAATATTATGATATTCAATTATTAAGATGCTTATTGTAAGACAATGAGATGAAAACAAAATAAAGATATATTATTAATAACAATTTCTGATTATTTTTATTCATTACTAGTTTCTAATGGATTCTAAACTTCTCCTATGAATAGAATTGTTCCACTTGTCTCGTCTTGAATGAAAAACATAAAAGGTCTTGTTGCCGAGAAGAATACCTCGCGATCGTTGCCAAATTTATTGGTCAGGACAATTTCTAAAGAATAAAATGTAATATTATACACATATGAACAAAAGACATATGCAGGGTGCTTGTGTATGTATCATTTAATATGCATCATTACCTGTAGCAGCATATACTGTGCTTCCTTTCTCGTTAACTTCAATGCCAGCCTTTTGCATTATACCAGATATTGATAATGTATCCTGTGGCGTATAGACTGAACACAGACTGCAGGCCCATCTAAATAACAAAATTGCAATTTTAAATCGAATAATTCTAAATAATGATGCTCTCGATCAGTAGAGGCCTCACCTCTTTCAAAGCATCAACAAGTTTTGCTTTAAAATCAAACTTCATCCATTAGCCACAATTGCTGCCTCAGAAGTTGGACGTTCAAATTCTGTTGTAAATGTTGTAATCCGTTTCTCATTATGATTGGCAATATGAATATCGCACTGAATTTTCCACCCTTTAAAGAAATACAATGTAAATAAAATATAGTATATATATATATATATATATATATATATATATATATATATATATATTAGATTGTCAAATATCTCCCTTCCGCTTTTTGCTATTGGTTTATAATACAAAAAGGCGGAAGGGAGATATTTGACAACCTATTATATATATATATATATATATATATATATATATACACTATAAATGTAAATTGATAAGCTTTTTTGGGAGAAATATTGAATCTCTGTTCATTTCTTGCAACTTTGTTAAGATGAATCTTACACACAAAACTTTGTGGTTTTAAATAGTTTCATATTTTAGTTCGGAAATTAACATAACATATTAATTGTTATTTTATGATAATTTAATTATTTCGTTATTCGTGTATATTTTTAACTTCCTCTATCTAGGGTAAGTTATTGTAATCGTCCAAAAATTGAAATTGAAATTTTTTACATTTCTCGACGTTTTGAAGGTTTCTGAACATTTTGGCATACCTCTGAAAAAATCTACTTAAATTTATAAAAAAATAGTACACACAGTTTTTATTTTAGAGAAATATGCACATTTGTTCATAAAAACTCTGTTAATTTTTGGACCGAAACAAAAATATAATTTACTGACAATTTTGAATTATACGTAAGATTATCTCTTCAATAAGGCCAATAATAGAACCTTCCAAATTTCCCATGTATGAATTAATTTAAATTCGCCTAAAATTTAATAAATTAAATACTATATACATGATAAATTTTGGTAAAATGTTTGAAATTGAATAAATATCCACAAAAATGCTAGTCAAAATAATTGCATGCTCTACCCTATTTAAAATATTTATCTTGTTAAGTTTCAAAATTTGAAAAGTGCCACAAAGCTGTAGAATATTTTAAATCCGGATTCTGTGAGTTAAAATCTACCAGAATTTATAAAAAAATATATAATTTAACGTTTTTGGCTCAAAATTACCTACAATTTTAATTTTTACATGTCCCATACTTAACCGGAACGCTGAATTGCACGGTAACCTCGACCTAGGCGTCGTTTCAGGTTAAGATGAAATCGCCCGTACCCGGTTGGGGATGAGACACCCAAAAAATTGTTGAATTTTTAAATTAGTTATATTAAAAATGGTAAATAGATGGATCATATTATGACAAAAAATATGATTCAGACGAGACTGAATAATTTTGTAAATAGAACACAGAAAATAATTATATGATATGTGATATTGAAAATTCGGTATCAGACAAGTTTGAAAGAAAACAGCTGGAAATCTTTATATGGCTTAAATATAATATGTCTATTATCCTTATTTTTCAAAGGTTGATTACCTCTGACTTCGTACATGATGGCGAAGTTCGCTTTAACAACAATGTGTGTCGGCGCTTTGTAATTGGCATGTGGTCACTAATTTTATTATCTTCATTCGGGGCGTGATGCTGACGCAATTGATGGGTTCATTTTATTAGGCAGCATGTGTCAAAAGTTAGACATATGACACAATATTCGCATGTGAAATGAACGAAATTACAAGACAACTAAAAAAGAAAAAAGTGCATTCTATACAAGGATCACCAGTAAAAATACTTTTACACTACTACCTTTAAAATCATACAATGTCATAACTATAAATATGTATGTTTTTTATATTACTTTATAAATATGTATGTTTATTCTATTATATATGATGCGACCCAAACACATATAAACAGATTCTATTAATCCCGTATTAATCAAATAAGCTCTCTGTTTATTAACAACGCTTCCAATCATATAAATTTTGTATGTCAATAATTGTAATTATTAGTTAATTACTATTGTTGTTCATGTTATTTTAGAGCAATATATGTGAATCATAACACTGTGTAATGAATTTGTGTAAACAAACCATAATTGCATAATAATTAATTTGTCAGTCGGATTGATCAATGTATAAACATTTATGTACATATTAACATTGTTAGATAAATAATGAAGTTTATATATATATATATATATATATATATATATATATATATTTATATATAAATATATATATATACTAGCTGACCCGGCAAACGTTGTTCTGCTAAGTAGGGCATTTTCTAAACAATTTCTAGAGTATCAAAAAAATTAATACTTTTTGTGTAAGGATGTGTTGTTTGAATGCTATATACAATGCGGTATTATAAAAACAATAAACCCCATTAGTTTGTCTATATTTTATTAATACAAACTAACTGGAAGTTTTATTCACTTTCTATAGAAAACATGGCATAATCCAATCCAAGTCTTTTTTGGTCTTTCGACTTATATAGTTATAAATATATATATATATATATATATATATATATATATATATATATGTGTGTGTGTATAGATACGTATCAATTCTGAAATACGAGAAATAAATTTTCCAAGCTTCGCAAGACATAACAAAATTGTCTGAATATGGCTATCAATAAATATTTTAAATATTTAATCATCGCCAAACGATCGAATTTCGCAGCCATTCAGCCTTTGAACAAAAGTGTAATAAAATATCTCTATATTTCATATATGTATTTTCTATATACATAAGCGTGACTGTGATATTGGAAACATGTTGCAAAATATTAATTATATTTAGCTTTTTGTTGATCGTGCACATAAAAGCCGATGAATGGCCTTCCATAAATTTTCCATTAGAATGAGTTGTTAATTCTACCCCTTGTTATTGTATTTGAAGCAGTTAAGTTTTGGTTATACACAGCATTTTCAACGTGGGTACCCATACATTTCGTTTACCATTAATTCTATGCTTTCAATTTATAATTACACTGCCTGCCGAGCGAATAAATGCTACGTCAGCCGGAGGTAAAAAGAACCCTATTATAATAGACATATACATACCCATAAATTTATATACACATACATACATACATACAAACATATATATATATATATATATATATATATATACTCAGATTTCTATCAAGATTTTTGTGAGCTTTTGGAAGAGCTTAAATTTATCTGCTGTATTCGATGATGATGATAAAACTAGCCAATTCAATTTAAATGAGAAATCACTTTCAAAATATTTATATGTGGCATGCTTTGCATATAATTTGTGTTACCTGCAGATAGTTATCTTTCATACCAAAAATTTTCTAGAAATATTTTTTATCGGTGTTTACCGGGTCATGTATAAATATCTCAATCATGCGTGAAAAACATTTCAGTATTTTCAGTTATGTATATTTAAATTTAATTCTGTAAAATTATGATTGTAGTTACTGTCATATTTAATAACGTTTTTGGTTCATAATTTCCTTCAGTTTTTATTTTTACATGTCCCGTACCTAACCGGTGCGCTGAATTGCACGCTAACCTCGACCTAGGCGTCGTTTCAGGTTAAGATAAAATCGCCCGTGCGGGTTGGGGATGGGACAAACAAATAATTGCATATTTTTATAAATTAATGAATAAATCAATGCATACATAAAAATAAAGTTAAATAAATCAATAATACTTTGAAAAGTATTATTAAGACGAGACTAATTGATTTTGTAGATGGCACACTGACAATAATTGTTGCTAAATTCTAACGTTATATTGGAAATTCTATACCATATTTAATTCGATAATTGTTAATGATCATTCACACAATAATTAAATAATATCAAATCGTCGACATTTCAAACATCTGCCTGTATCAAACCGACCAGGACTATCAAGGAATAAATTAGCAAGTGCACTGGAAATGGTCGAAGCCATTACGACGAATCCGACTCAAATTGATGGTAATTTACATAATGCCAGTTCTTAATGCCATTTCACTGTATTTAACTGTATTTTCACAGTGTCCCCTTGGAACATACGACATCTATATATACATAATGATATTTGATTAGATTTAGAAATTGTACATATATAATATATTTTACGTTAATTACATTCACTTTTGCCATAAAGCATTAGGAATATCAATAGACACTGTAATCGATTATTTATCATTTAGGTTCATAAAAACTTTTTGACTTACTAAGAATTGACATTGAACATTTTTGCATATCTTTACGTTTCAGAGGTTTCTGAACATTTTCGCATACCTTAAAAAAATGGATGTATGTGGGTGTACGTGTATATGTTTTGCGTGGATACAATTTTTTGTCTACGATTCCGAAAGCACGGATTAACCAATTTGAATAATTTAAAGAACATTCGATTTCTATTGATAAGATAAAATTTAGTGACGAGCTTATTAGTTTTTGGCAAAAGTCGGTTCAGCTGTTTAGGAGATAAGGAGAAAAGAGTGCAAAAAATAGAAATTAAGTTTTTGAGTGAACATTTGGTCATCCGATTTGAATAATTCAAAAAACAATTCTGTAATGATGGGCAAAATTGTGGTTAGTTTTTGATGAAAACAATACGCGCCGTTTTGGAGATATGGAGCTAAAAGTGCTGAAAATTTTGTTTTTGAGAAAACGAAATATCTGATTTGGATGATTCAAAATACATTTTGCGTGTGAAGAAACGATTAGTTTTCGAAAAAAAAATTTCATAATTTAAGGTTTTTTAATTTGCATTTTTTTTTAAATATCGAAAATATGATTCGGATTTTAATTTTAATTCCAGCTACAATTCTAAAGCTCATTAATTGTTATGAAGTGAATTTATATAATTCTCAGAAACATGAAATAAGGTCCTTTAATTTTAATTCCGTTCAATTTAAGTTTTGTTTAACTACTTTTCATGTAAACATATATAAAAAACGTCGTCATCGATATTTTTTTCGATATTCGAAGTTCTTA